CTGTTATATACCCGTGTACAGTGAAATACTCAGAGAGTTTTATTTTGTTTTTAATGTCTTTTCATAGTGCTGATGGGTGCTGGATAAGATCAGAGGGGGAACAATATCCAACACAGCAAATCCCAGACCAAAATGGCTGTTGCTGGTAACAGTCTTGTATGTGATGGAAAGGTTTTGGAAACTTTTTTGCTGTAACTGTGCTCATCTTTGGTGGAAACATAGTTGGCAAAAACTAATGGAGTTATAGCAAGTGTGAACACCTAGGATGGTTGAAGATGTTTCTCTGCTTGCAGTGAAAGTTAGTGATGCAGTTGTGTGACCAAAACCTTTCTATTGGAAATTGAGCCTGAATTCTGTCTCGTTACTGTTATAGGATTATTTTCATTCTGAGGAGCTGTTGCTAAAAACTGTTGGTGTATGGTGTGGATCTGCGTACAGGCTAAGGTACCATGAAGAAGGGACAAAGGAGGGTATSGGGACAAAGCAGGGTAGGTGGCAGAAGGAAATAACAAAAAAAGGCAGTCACATGCTGATTAACAAGTACTACAGTGACTGTGAATATACCTGTGTAGATCCCTGTCTTTAAGTTGTTCTAAAGATATTTTTTTACATTGAGGGATTCAATATTATGTCCATTAACAATTCTCTGCTATCATGCTTGAGCAGTCTATTAGTCGTTCTCACCTCTTATAGCTGGTCACAAAGGCCAGTCCCCTTGCCTCTCTCTGCTTCATCTTTTTTATTAAGTTTATTAAAACTAGTCAGATTATACATTCTTATGGCACAGGCTGTGCTTGGTCCATTCATTATGGTTTCTTATCTTGGCAGGCAATCTGAATTGAACGGCAGCTAGTCCATTATGCACATATGAAGCCCATCACTCCTCCAGCAATGGCCAATTCATCAAACATTTATCTTTTGCCCTCTGAGCAGCGCGTCAATTTGCTTGTCAATCCTCAGCCTTGGTTGTTGTGGAAGATGGGAGAAAAATTACTTTTCTTTTCCCCCTTCCCACTGAACTCTGGTAGTCAAAATGGGCTTTGCTCTCCTCACTCTGCTCCCCCGCTCTCTGTGGAAAAAGGGGAGGGGTCAAGTTACTATCTGAATTGCAGAGTGACAGATTGATCCAAGATACAGTAAAGCTTTCATTATGGCACTCCCTTTGCACTTGAATTTGCTCATATTTCCATTATAATACTGGTTTTTAAGGGGTTTATAAATAGGTTCTTCACTTGGCACATGGAGCTGAGAGGAGCTTTTAGGAATAAACACATTACAGGGTTTTAGCTCATTGTGGGTTTTCTTTGTTTGCTTTTTTTTAAACAGGTAGGGTTAGATTTTGTAAACCATAGCATGTTCTTTTGCTATTTCTAATCACTAATACTTCATTGAATTCTTTCAATTTCAGGAAGTGGCAATGTTTCTTTTCTTTCTTTTTTTTTTTTTAATGCCACTTCTTTTATTAGGACTGAGTTCCATGTTAAGATTGGGGAAAAGACAACTAAAGCAATAAAGCAAGAGTTTTGCATCCAAGTTTTTCTTTAAATCCTTCAACAAAGGCTTTCAAGAATTTTTAGCAGAATGACTTTTAAGTCCCTAGGTAGGAATATTAGGGAGGTGATTCATAATTAAACTATAAGTGGTGTTTTTTCCAGAATGCTCTTTGATAGGCTGTGAATACATAGTCACTTTCTCTCTGCTTGGTAATTTTTTGCACTGTTTTGCAAACTGCTTTTTCTAATATGGTACTTGTTCAATGACTAAGAACTCATTTTCTCATCCATTTTGTATTATTTTGMAATATTTTGTATGGCTTATATGAAAACTGCCTTGCCACAAGCTATAGTACASGGAGTGTCATTTTATTTACATTTAAACAAATTTGTAACAGTAATACAGTATAAAATCTCATGTTTAATCTGAAAGATGTAATCTAGAACTTTAAGCAAAAAGAAGCCTAAAATGAAGGATAAAGCTTGAGCTGTATCACTGGGAGGTGCATTAAATACACRTAGTGAAATCTGAGTCTTTAAGAGGTCAATTAGAAAAGAAATTGAACCCCACCAGAGTCAGTCTGATTGCTAATTTATCTCTTTTGCTCGATTGTTCTGGTTGTTTGCTTTATTGAGAGTTTTTTGTGTTTTGGTTGTTGTTACTGTCTGTGGTTTGTTGTTTTTTTAAAAATTTCAGTAGTCTTGGTGGGAGAGAATGGTGGTTGAATGGCTGGATGGTTGACTGTAATATGTTTGTGTCAGCTGCTGAAAGCTGTAATTGGGATTTGTACTTTATTTCACCAGGTAAATAATCCACTCCTATGGGACACARCCCTTGCAGATTCTTTTACCTTAATGTTGTAGTTTCTTTTAATTTCATTGCAAGATTTTGGACAAATAGGCTGTGTCCATCTCTCCCAAACATAAGTGCTCCACTGAGCCTCAGATGCCCATTTTTCTTGCTGCCTGTCAGGAGTTATAGGTAACTGGGTTTCTAGAGATGGATGAGATAAATCTGCATTGTTGCTCTTCAGACAATGCCATCATCTGAAGAACTACTGCTTAAGAGCAAGTTCCCTCTCTCTAGAAATATCTGCATTTCTATTTTATTATTGGTAGGAATGTGTCTGAAATGTTGTGAACTTAATAGTTGAGGGAATCCAGGAGGCCTCATCTTTTTTCGTCTGTTTATTGACTCTATTTTTGTTACAGTTTTCTTTGAGGTTTTGYGGTGGTGGCTTCTAAAGGTTTAGAAGTTTGGGCTTCTTTTTTTAAGCAATGGATTTTGCTGTGTGAGACTCAAAATAAGACTATAAAAAAAAAAAAACTAGATGAAGATTCTGAGTTTTCATAGCTGCTTCCAGATATTTTCCGTCTACCAACAGAAAGATGGAAGTCATGCAAAATGCTAAATAACCTGAAAAATACTAACATTTCCTCTGGTATCAACCAAAACAAAGCATTTATTGCTTTTCAGATTTTGGAGGTTCTTTAATTTCACTGGGATGTTTTTCTTTTTTTGGTGTTCTGCCTAGATCCACAAGACAAGTCAGAGCTGTCCATTAAATACTGTRTTCTGTTGTCTTTTATGTTCTATTATCATGCAGAAAACTGTAAAATCACGTAGTAGAATGCAAAAAAAAAATCTTTTATTCTTGAATAATGTAGAGGTAAATTTTTGATGCTTTACTTGTATTTTGCCCACCTGATGTATTTTATCTATCTATCTATCTGTCTGTCTGTCTGTCTATCTATCTGTCTGTCTATCTATCTATCTGTCTATCTGTCTATCTCTCCTATTTTTTTATTTTATTTTGTTTTGGTGAGGTTGAGTCAAAAGACTGGAAGTAAGGAGTTCTGGGTGTTATTTCTTGTCTCTTAGAAAATTGCTGGAGGTCAACTTCCGTTAGTCACTTAACCTCTCTCTGCTTTACTACAAAATGGAATTTTAAGCTCAGCAGGTTTTTGAAAAGTAATTCATTAAAGTTTTACCAAAAAAAAAAAAAAATACTTTATACTCCTTGGCTGCCAGGTGCTGGAGAAACAGAATTTGCATTTCTATTTAAATACTGAAATTATCTAGTACTAAGGTTCTCATGTTGATTCTGCTCTCCTGTAATCTATTAAAACATTAAAGGCAAGGAAAAAAAGGTATTTTAAAAAGCTCTTGTTTTGTAACAGCTCCATCTTTAACTTCTGCTAATGGCTATCTCTTGTCAACAAAATGCAAATCAATTTCAAGGCTAAACCCAAACTCTCTCATTTACATATTGTTAACTGCTCTCTCTTTTCCTGTTAAACAGGAGGAAAAAGTCAATTAGATATGAGGCAGCTGTCTTATTAATGAAGGGGTGGGATAAAATGTAAGGACCTCTTCTTTTTTAGCATCTGGTTCTGAGCAGCCGGTTCTTCTGAACAAGGACAACTGCAGAGTACCAAGTTTTGTCTATTGCTTGAGACACTTCTGCTTTTTTTCATTTATAAAATCTCATGTTTTCAGTGTCAAATACTACCAAAATGAAGAGTTGCTCTGTACTTTCATTGTAACCAAATCCCTGTCTGGCCAGAGGGATCACATGAAATAGTGTAATTGACAATTACCATGCATACACATATGTACAAAAAAAAATCTCTGCCATGACATTCCTTTATGCTTAAAACTTTGTTACAAACCATGAATGAATTATGGAAAACAAAGCTGGAAGAAATCATGCTGATTAGCCAAAGGACTTGGATAAAATGACATTTCTGAGACCTTTATATTCAAAAGGATTATTTACTGTCTGCTTACAGAACATCTTAAGTCGTTTTGCGCAGGGAGTCAGTTTCCTGTTTAGCGCAGTGTTTTTGTAAGCTAATGAGGGCAAAGCGTGAGCCATAGGCAATGATGCTGTGATATTAGCTGTGACAGGGAGCTTGATCATAATTATCTTAACGAGGATAGGGTTAATTACAGTGGAAACTTAAAGTTTTTTCCGTTTGAATGAGGCGGCACTGAATACGTTGTGATGTTTTGTCGGTTTGATGTGACTTTGAAAATTGCAATGGAAATCTCTTGGCAACACTTGCTCTCCTCTGGGAGCAGAGTGTGAGCCCTGCAATGAGGTAACTGAGACGGTACCTGTGGGTGAGATAATGGGCAGCTTTCATGACATTAGAGCAGGGACAGGCAACCTGCAATCCACCTTAGTGGTGTTTATTAGCCTTTGGAAAGCAAGGGAAGCAGCTACTTAGCACAAGCACTTCAGTGCTGGTTGCGCTGTTGTGGTGAGATTGTGCATTTTTTGAAATATTCTAATATGGGGAGACTTTATGCTGTAGACTGTGAGAAAAGAGCACAAATTTAATTTTAGACTGGTTCTCTTTCTTAGAGGATTTGCCTCTTTTTATACTCGTCTCTTAGGTTGCTTGTGCCCTTCTTCCTATGCTGTGTATACATAAGCATTCCTCTCCTCTTTTGTAATGGGCTCATAAGGAAATACTTGGACTACATTAATATTACTTTCTCAACCTCATTAAAAATAAAAATGACAGTATTTTGTACTCATTTATGTCTCAGCTTCCCAAAAATGCTTTCTACGTATCCATTTACAATTGCAATCCTTTCTTATACCCCATCTGCAGATGGGAAATTGAGGCTTATAGAAGTTATARGACTTGTTGGAGTTTGCTCCATAAAATAAATTGTGTGGATTGTACTTAAAACTTTTACATTTTGGAGTAAACTGCTGTGCAGTATTTCCTGATATGTTATGATGGCAGAGACTATTGCATAGAATTTAGTAGGCAGTATCACTGAACAATAGCAAACGTGTTTTTTCCTTTTTTTTTTTTGGTTCTTTGCCACATCTTGCCATTTTTGTTTTGGTCCTGTTTTGTTTTTTTTCTTGTTTAAGATGAAAAAAAAGATCCATGAGTAGCAAAATAGCATACTTTGTAAATTTGTAATTTGCTGTAATTTTATATTAAAGGCTACACCCTCTCTCTGTACTGAAGCAACCCCTCCCATCTCCCTGGACTCTGAATTTAGGTGATTAAATCACCAAGTGCACACTGCTCTGATGACATGAAAACAGCAATTATAAGCAACCCCCTGTGTAACATGGCTCCTTTTTAACTGAGCAGCTAATAACATTACATGGCAAAAATTATCAAAACCAGACAGGTGTAAGGAGATTTGTGCACAATTTTCCCTGCCTATCTCTGAAACTAGTACCCTTGTGTTCAGCCCGGGCTTGTGAAAGAAAGACTGTTTCAATAGGCAACTCCCTCTAGTGTTTCAAGGCCTTTTGTCCCACTTCATGGCTTGTCATTTTGTTTTATGCCTCCCCTGCAGCAGTTTTGGATGTGCGCTTTCTTCTCCTTGCCAGTTGCCAACCATTTGCTGATTCTCATGATAAGAGTATTATATTTGCATAACATAACTCAGGAACAATGTGTATTTTGATGCTGACACTGACCAGAGCCCAAGCAGTGTTTTTTCACAAAGGAAYTATTAACATCCCATGAGGCTCTGTGGTGCTGACAAGGAGGTGGCCTTCTCTGAACTCTTTTGGCAAGTCAAAGTCATACATTGAAATGTGAGGTTTGGAAATAATCCACTATTTATACAATAAAGAGTATTTAAGGGGAATTTGCTAAACGAGGTTTGTCAAACTGAAATGAAAACTCCTAACAGCTTGATAAACTCACTGCTACTTCCTCTGGGTTTTTTGCCTTTTAAAGGTACTTGGGGGAAAGCACTGTCTGAGATGTTTGTTGCTTTCTGCTCAAATCTTGACTTTGGCAAAACCAGGTCTGTTGTGACCTTTTGCTGAAATAGCTAGCTCAATGCAGCATGCTAGCACASCTCTTGATGGTGAACAGTTAATGTAGGCTGAATCGAGTTTTTTTTTCCCAAAACTGCTGGCTGAAGGCAAGTGCAAAATGTGTGACTGTTACTGTGGTGATTGTTTCAGTAAAATATTTGTAATAGAGGCCTTCATTTTTTCAGCTTCAGGAATTATAGTATCAATGCACTGTAAGGATACAGAAATGCCATAGGRTATAGGCATGGCAAATTTTCTTCAGGTCTGGCTGCCCAGCATCGAAATGGTATTAATAATGGTTGTACCACCCTTTCGAGTCAAGAGGCTTTGGAGTCCTTGGACTGCACACCCATTTTGGTGTTGCACAAATGTTACTTGAATATTCRTAGTTTAGCTGCAGTACCCAGTTTTAAGGTCACACACTTGATTTCTTTTGGTTGCTTGAACTGTCTAAGTGTGAYCTGTAAGTGGTCAGTAAGTTCTGGCTACAAAAGCTGTGTCTTGTTTTTGTTGCACAGATGAATGTTAAATTGTCTTTCCTAATAATACTTGTGTTTTCCTCCAGTATCTGTGGAACTTTCTRACAGGGATATTGGCTGTACTTTGATCTTTGCCAAAAACTGGGGGGAGGGTGAGAAAATCCACTCAGTATAAATGTCATTGGAAACTGAATAAATAGTATAACCTGCATCCCCCTTATTCATCACATTTTACAAAGCAGCCAGGAGATGCAGTGATGATCTTCCCACTGGTAGGCACAGTAGATCAGCTGTCAAGTCATGCAATCTCAGCATATCTTTAGGTGTCTGGTAGGTGAATGAGCTGTGAATGCGTGTCTGTGCGTATGCTTGTATATCGGGTGTCCTAGTTGATTAATGTGTGGGGTTTTTTTTATTATTGGAATGTGCAAGCATTAAGAATCAAGCTTGGAATAGATGCCTTAACAAGGTACTGAACTGCTCTTTTTTAGGGTTTTTTTTTTAGGGTTTTTTTTTTTTTCTCCTTGTACTTTGCTATGAGAAGAATGAATACTTCCAGAACCTTGTTTATTTACAAGTCATTATCTTCACTATCATGTTGTCAAATGCTCCTTTTCAAAGCTGCACCCTGCAGTCTGACCTGTGGTTTGCCAGTGGGACACTAAGTTCTGAGAAGAAAGCAAATGACTTTTCTGTCTGRTGTAATTCTGCATTTTATTTTGCAGAGAACATTTTATTTTGTTTGCAGGAGCTCAAGAAGCTAATTAAGAGGATAATAAAAAAGGGGGGTGGAAATCCCTTCTACATTTCCTATTATTGAATGTAAGGTAACTACTAAGAAACGATACTTGAAGTTGTATTTATTATTGTTAGCAGGGTATGATATTTCTTGGCAGAAATGATGGATGACAACTTAAATTTGTGTCCAGGGAATGAAGGTGAACTGTGACAGAGTTATTTATCTTGGGAATGGAGGTTAGGGTCAGGCGAGGCTGGGTGCCTGAAGGCACAAGACATTGACAAATTCATCCTGCAGGCCCCATATCTGAAGCCTTTTGTTTTGGATCCTGGCTACTCACTAAGTGACCCGCATCCTTCATCCTGCCAGCATGTGAAGGATGTGTTGCAGTGCCAGCACTCCCCTTGCCACTAATGCTTGTCATTCACTCTTCTGACAGGCCCAAACCAAAACTATTCCCACTCCTGAAAGGGAAGGTTAAAATATTTATTTCAGCTCATAATGGCCTCCCTGATTTAGTGGAGTATCATTTTTCCTGTTGCCTTTGTCGTTTGCAGGTCACTAGAAGGACTGAAAACATTCAGTTACTTGGAAGAGCTGATCTTGGACAACAATCTGCTCGGAAATGACCTTCTGTTACCCAGGTTACCCCACCTCCATACCTTAACGCTCAACAAGAACCAAATATCCTTTCAAAGAAATACCTGCAAAATGTCAAATGAGTTTTATGTGTCAGCCAAATTAAAGTATGTGAAATATAGTTCATGTGCAGACAAAGCATTCTCTCGTTTGGCACCTGGAATACTTCATAGTAATTTATTACAGGTCATTCATAAATGAAATGCACCATTATATCTTCCTGTTGCTCCATTTTAGTGAGAGATCTAAGTTATGGCTCTGAAATCTTTCTAATAGATAAAATAGAGAAAGAAAATAATGTCAGTGCTCGCCGTGTGCAGCAGTTCCCGTGTTTGCTTGGGGTTCTGTTGCAGGCTGACCTCTAGTGGAATCGAGCGTGCAGTGAAACGCTCTTGGGTTTTTATACTTTAAATAGCTCTTAAAGCATTAAAGTAAAGTAAAATAAAATTAATTAAACTCACCCAACAATTTTAATGAGRTAATATGCACAATTGGGTAGCTTCTGTGCAACTGCAGCTGTAAAAGCATGTCACTCTATTCTTGGTGTTCCAGTTCTGTATAAATTCATATAAAATACTTTCCAAATCAAGGTCTTAATACAGTGAAGTCTTTTGATGTATGACTAAGTGCAGTTGTAACCAATCAGTCACTTCTCCATATGCCTGAAGTTAGTGCCTGTTTCTGTTTATTAAGAATAAATATTTTAACATTTGTCTAAATACTCTGCTGAATGAGAGCCCCTAGTCTGTAGGCTTATAGATAATGGTCTGCAAAAACTAATTATCTGCAAAGTCTGTGGGCGCAGTCTTGATTATTATATAATTTTCCCACACTTTGACCCATCTGGAGATTTGAAGATGTGTGATATATGATTTTACAAAAGTGAGGGGCGATCAAAGTGTGGCCAAAAGGCCAACTGAGGCCCGCAGAGCCTCCGAGCACAGCCCCAAAGGCCTCGCCTTGTAATTGCAGCGTGAGGACAAGACTGCTCAACTGCAGGCTTTTATTACAGACAGTGTAAACAGAGAGCAATTTACCTCCTACTAAAGCAAAATCCTCCTACTGAGGGGAATAAAAATAACTGCAGATTCTACGATTTCTGCACTTATTTTTGACTCTATAAATAAATAAAAATCAGCAGAGTAACTTTTTTCCTTGGAGCTGTGGAAATTTGCCAAGAGTGCCTTTTGAACAGTAACAATCATTACTGTGCTAGGTATTTGGCTAGATTTATGGTTAATGCAGGATATTGTGGGTTGGATTTGAGGAACTGGTTTTGTTGTTTTGTTGTTGGCCACCATGGTAAAATCATTAAGAATGTACAAGAACATTTTTGGGATGCCAAAAACAAACCGTGAAATATAAGTTTGGCAATAAGACCAAAAGCCTTTGAGTATATTTGTCCTTTGTGATGGTGTCAAGGAAGAGTTTTGGAGTTACCAGAAGGAGGGTAGAGGTRTTGAATATGAACTCAGCAAACAAAATCAGAGGGAAAAAATTATCCTGTCATTAGTAATCCATAAAGAGTTTCTACTGCTCTTTCAACCGTGCTAAAATAGTATTGTCAAGTTGAGTAAGCTCTCAAAGTCAATGATAACATTATAAGAATGATTTGATCTATCCTCAGATTTTTTTTTTTATTCAATCTAAAAACTATGAAGCTAGAGCTTTGAGAGTATTGGGCTACCCAGGTTATAGAAATAATGCATGCATTTTGTATTGTGCTACAAATAATTTAATGGAGGAGTTGCAGAAATACTTGTAAAATACCTAATGTATACAAGCTGCCCAGAGAAGAAAAATTAACTGCTGTCCATCATTAACATTTTGAGCTCTAGGGAATGGTGATCTGTTGTAGGGAGTACACATCAGTCTGCAGAAGCACGGAGACCTTCCAGATGCCTCTCTTCAATGTTAATGCCGTATTTGAAAAAAAGGTCTTATTTGAACTTGAATCACTTCTTTTAATGAATTATTTCTCTATAGTATTCTTTGAAAAATGTGAAGAGAAAATGTGCRTTTAATAGAATAATGAAATACATTACAGGAAAGATTGTTCAGTATATGACAGTAGAACTACATAAAGGACACAAGTGAGCAAAGAATAYAGATCTGAAATAAAACTTCAGTAGRTGGAATGTTGACATGTATAAATACATATATACAGAGAGAGAGTGAGAGAGAGATGAATGTAAACAAACAGCCAAACTGACCCCTTTGAAAATTGGAATAACATGTAAACTTTAAAGCRCATATGAGAGCTTTCCTGAGTGTCTCTTAATATAACTGTACTCTTCTCTACTTTTATTCTGGCTTCATTTTGATCCATATCCTGTTTCGATAGTTCTGATAAGAGCTTTCTATTCCTTTTTCATGGTTCACTTATTGTGTGGCATTGTATGTGTAAATAACATTTGGGCTCTCCTAACATAATGTCTGGAYACTGTACAAATGTGAAAGCTTATCTCTAAATCAGGTAAAGACTTAGAAGAATCACCTGGTATTTTTTTCTTCTGGTTGTGTGTTTCAGTTACAGTCAGGCCACTATCAATTTTTCTGCTAGAAGTGGAAGAAGAAATTAAAATATTGCAATCAAAAAAATGGGCTCGCTCTCAAATTTTCTGTGACATGTAATCTGTTTAAATTTTTCAAAAATGAGGTCTATATGACTGAAACACCTCAAGGATAGTCATCAACCTTGTGCACTGTTGGATTGTGAATCTAACATGCTTTTTTTTCATGTGTATATATTCTTACAAAAGTCTGATTTACTTTGGGAGACTTASCATCTTAGTTTTTTTCTTGCATAGAGTGGACAGCAGAAAGCAGCAAGATCAGGATGGATGGTGGTAGGTAGGTGGAAAGTTGCTTTTGGAGGAAGACTTATGAGTGCAGCCACCTATGCTTGTAAAAGGAAGCCTCATTTCTCCTTTTAAGTGGGTTTGCTAAATACTAAGAGTCAGTCAGGAAACTTCTAAATAGATTTATTTCTCTGTGGGTGTTATAGCAGTATAAGGTTTCATGGCTTTTCACTGTGCTGAGCTTAACCAGTATGGAACAATATACATTAGACATTTCAATTTCCTTTACATTTTAATCTTTATGGTATTTGTCAAAACTACTCAAATGGGCAGTTTCAAAATTTGGCGAACTATCAAAAGAAAATTTGTCACATAAATACAGATATGCATGCATATATACCTGTATGCTGAAAATTAGGAGGTGTTCACTGCCTCACTTTAAAACAGATAAGTCTGCTAATGAACAAGATCTGTGATTCTTTGTAGAGAAAGTCCTACTTCCTTTACTTAGTCCAGTAAGCTGGGCATACATTTAACATATAT